CCGGTCGGGCGCCCAGCCGCTTGAGAAGGGTGCTGCGGTGGCGCGGAGGCGGGTAACGGCTCCCAGTGAATCGCCTCTCCCTCCTGGCTTGCTGGCATCGCTGCCCAGAGTGTTTCAGAAGGGCCCTGCGCCCAATTGTGGACAGACGCAGAACTGGCCCAAAACCGTGCCCGCTTCCCAGGACTCCACCCTAGGATGAAAGTTCCCCTGAGGTCATCTTCCACCTGCCTTTTAAAGATACTCATCTTAAATCTTCATTTGCTCTTCCTTCAGGGAGAGATTTTAACTTGCTCAATGAATGCGTCCTGCTCCTGGAATCCTGATCTCACGCTTCTCATTGGTATTAAGGTTCCCATTTACTCTGGCTTGTGAGATATCGCAAGAATGCAACGTCTTCATGCTATGCCTTTAACTTCCACGGTGATGTAATGGCAAAAGAGCCCACAACTGGTAGGGGAAAAAAGTTACCACAGCACTGTGACATCGTACTGGTTCTGCTCCTTATTTGTAAGCCAATCCTACAAGTGCTTTTCCCAAGAGATTTAAGAAATTACTGACAAAGTTACAGTGAACTGCCTCAGGGCTTCAAAGCGGACACACCATAATTGTAAATGAGCCACCACAAACTGCCAGGAATATATCAGCAAAAGAAATAAATGTCAAAGGGGGGAGGGGATTTAGCTCAGTGGTGGTGCCGCAAGGCCCTGAGTTTGATCCCGGGTGCCAATCAATCAATCAATCAATAAATAAATAAATAAATGTCAAGTATTCTTCCAGTTCCCTGATGCAAGGTGGTAGAGCAGCTTCTTTTTTCTGCTGATAAGAAGCATTTCTCTGCGATTGCTATTTTCCATTTTCTCATCAGGAACACGTACACACACAGGTATATGCCTCACCATCTCAGATTTACAGGTCACAGCTCTTGAATTTTAGTGTGCCTCAGAATAAACTAGGGTGCTTGTTCAAATATGAGTACCTTGTTATAACCCCCAGATATTTTGATCTGGATGTGAGTGGGATGGAGAAATTTGAATTTTTAATAAGCATCTCAGGTGACACCATAGGTGGTTGACAGTACAGTTTTTATGTATTACTACTCTGAAACCATGTAACTAATTTAATTTCCAACACCCACCTACTTACATATACTATGCCTATAAGTATTGCTAAAGTAGTCATGTAGTTTCCTTTTCCAAGATTGACCTAGAAAGTTCAGAACTTCAAACAAGTTTAATTATCATCTTTATTTTTTATGAGATCTTGTTGTAATACCAGAAATACGTAACTATTTGTCTGCTACATAGTTCACTAGGTAGCTATGTGTACAAAGAACTATCGTCTATAGTAGTAGGGTTAACATAAAAGAAATAGGAAGAATGATCAACTTTACCCTCAACACAGTCTCTAGTTGTAGAATTAAAACATAGACACAATTCAGAACCAGTGTAGCACATAAATTAACCTGTTAGACCAAGATGAAAAAACCCCTTGTAAATGAAGAATAAGTTATCCAGTTTCCTTTTTTGTCCATCTCTTGGCCCAGACATTATCAATTATGTAATTCCTCTGAATACTGAGTCCCCACCTTACTGAATTTCCCCCAACTTTACACAGTATAAAGGAAAGAAATCAGTAGAGTCTGAAGCTATGAGTTTTTGTATGTATGCCTATAGTACATACATAACCTGTGTATATGTGCATGATACAGATTTTCTATTAGAACAACAATGTACTTATATTTTCAAGATCTTTATCATGTATTAGCACCCATTGCTATGACCATTTTTATCATCTACCATATTTCACCTTTTCTTCCACATTTAACCACACCAGGGATGAAATGGAAAGAAAAGCTATCTCTCCCAAAAGGAAACCAAATGTATCCACTCATTTCCACCTCATCTTTTTTCACTTTTTTAGGGTCAAAGCATATCTTTGAAACCCTATAATATCTATTTCTCAGGAACAAAACATTCCCCCAAGCAGCTGACATTTTAGACAGAACATTTGCACCATTGTTTACCACCAGGAAGACAGATTATTTTCCCTGTTTCACAGATGAAGAAAAGGATTCAAGTGAAATGACTTGTCCAGTCACTAAACTAGCAACAGAGCTGGGATTTCGTATACCAGACTGTTTGCCACTACATCAGGCTCACTCAGTAATGCATCCTAGCCAGAGCTACCAATCCAATTAGAAACAGGAATATGAAAGAATTAGGGAAATGTACAATGCAACTGACAGGTTCAAACTACAACACAAGAAGTCCAGAAAGCATGAAAATGAACAGGACTGCTCTGTCAGCAGTCACTGATATTTAGGCTTTACCCATTTCGCTCTTCTGTAATAAGAAGCTGAAACAGATAGCCAGACTGCCCTTGGCATTAGTTATTTATGGAAGGACAGAAAACAACCGTTGTTCACTGACTGTATAATAAGACTTTGCATTTTAATCTTACTTCACAAGTTTGTGCAATGATAATTTCCTCCTGTGGTCCAACTACAATCAGCAGAACTTTATAATAATATTTGCACAAACATGTTAGGTTTTGCCACTTTATTGCAGACCTAATAACCAAGCCAATGTTGTCTTCCATAGCCTGTGTGAAACAAAGAGTGAAATCAGAAACCTAGGCAAAAGACAACATTATGAATGTAAATAATAACCTAAGACATTCCATTCAAGAATGGTCAAAGGTAGGGCTTGGTTTGTACCTGTCCAATATGTGCAAGGTCCTGGGCCCTGTACCCCAGCATGTTTTTTTTTTTAAAGACAAAGGCATAGTAGCTAAATCTAGACGTTATTTTTTCAAATGATTCATCTTTTTAAATACCTACCTTTTCATTCCAAGTACATTTTACCAATTTTAAGTTAATTGAAATGGAAAGACATCAAATGCCCCTAAACGGAAAGATAGATTATTACAAAGTGTGAGGTCTCCCCAAGTTAATCTATAAAGTGAGTAAAGTCCAAATCAAACACCTAATTGGGTTTTCTGGAACTTCAATTTCTCTCATGAAACTTATTCAATGTCCTTTTTAAAGTTGACCACTACCTGCATAAATGAAAGACTCTTCAATCATCCTTAAAACTTGTTTTAGAAACTTTCTCCCCTCGAAAAGAGAAAAACATCCTTCTATCCCCAAGGACAGCAAAGGTACAATGTGCTGGGATTATCACCAAATCTGCAAGAAAGTTACCTTTGGTATACTTTTGCCCACTATCTATAGTGATTCTAGCTTAGTAATATTAGGGAAAAAGACAGATTATCAACCTCAGAACTTACCTAGATATGTATTTATTATACCTTCTGTTTCACATACAAGGAGAATCAGTATATCCCACTCTTAAAAGACCAGTGAAAGTGCAAAGTTTTCAAATGTTCTTTATTCAGTCACTGACTCTAAGTCTGGGAGGCCACTGAGAGGCAGAATAACAAGAAGGAAATTGTATGGGTTTTGAACTTAGGCCAGTTCCCTGAGAGCAAATTACATAACCTCTTTCTGAGCCTCAGTCTGTTCAGCTATTAATTGGGAATAATAATGTACCTTATTCATAAAACTCATCTGGGGGAAGATTAAATGAAATCATGCTCATAAAGTGCCTGATTTATGGCAAGTATATAGAAAATGGCATCTATTAATTACCAAGTTCAATATCTTCACTTTATGAATTAAAAGAAATTACAACCAGACAGTCTTTCTCCAGATTCTCCTGCTCATTGTGTGACATTTATCAAAGCTAAGGGCTAAAGTCCTTCAGAAATGGTCTACAGCTGTTTCATTTACAAAACTATTGTCTGACCTCCACACTAATTTCCGTTCCCCTCAGTCCTCCAAATGTCCCCATTGCCTACACCTTGTCCTAAAATCGACAAACCCCATAACTGTATCTAAATAGTCACTCTGTTTCAACAGTTGGAAATTTATTTTTAAAAGTAATTCTTCAAACAAATGCTACAATAAAATTGTTTCACTTGGACCCCATGTAGCATCTGGTATAGGCCAAACTATTCATATTCAAGTAGAAAATCTGCAATAATATGTTTGAATAATGAAAGATACTAACTATATTTTGAGCATTTACTATGTGCCAGCTTCTACACCAAATACATGACATGCTTTAGTTCATTTAACTCTCACATCAACCCTATGAGGTGTATACCATTTTTATTTCAAAGGAAAATATGCATGTGGCTAAATAAGTCATGTTTCACATGTCCTTTTCATTATTACATAAATCCATGTAAGAGAAGCATCAGCCATTCTTTTAAGATAACGATATATACTATAATAACCATTGTTATTCTCTAATTATTTTTTATGAAATTTTATTTTGTTTTTCATAGAAGTACAAAGAATGTTTTCATATTTTCTTTATTAATAACTACTTGTATTACATTAAAATTTTTAAAAATATAAAAGGAGAAGCAGTCTCATTTTGTAATATCCAACTTAAATGTTAGGCCCAGGGTAAATTCTTTTTATGACAAGACATTTATAGCAAATGCTTTGCAGGTGAACCCATACATGTTAAGAAAGTCATTTTTAGCTATTATATATCTCACTCCAGACCACCTTTATAAGCAGATTTCAGCATGAGTAGCTAATCTCACTTTCTGCAAACTCATATCAATAGTAATTTTAAAATAGCTCACCAAATCTGATTTTCTTGCCATGGGATAAACATTCAGGTATGTGATCTAGATCAGCATTTGAATCAGTCCCTCCTTCTAACTGTACACTCTTTATTGAGCCATGATGAAAATTAGGCTGTATGCGAAAGTGTCCAA